TTCCAAAGTCCTCTGCAATTCCACATGTACGAAAACCATGGTTTACCAATGATTGCAAACAGGCTAGGAAGGCACGGAAGAAAGCCGAGCACTATTTCCGTCGCCATCCTATGGTGCACAATTTGGACAAATATAAAATTTTAAACGCCAAAGCACGACGTACTTTCAAGCAAAGTAAACGCCCATCTTGGCGAAACTATATATCAAAAATTAATTCTCGCACACCTATATCCAAGGTGTGGAATATGATCCAGAAAATCAAGGGTAAGGGCTCTAAGTCTAGCATTCACCATCTCAAAGATGGGAACGAATTACTTACTAATAAATCTGATATTGCTAATAATCTTGGTGAGACGTTGGCAAAACATTCTTCCTCATCTAATTATGTACCTGAATTCCAAAAATATCAAAAACAGCAAGAAAAGAAATCTCTTAATTTCAATTCAGATAATGGGGAAGACTACAATGAAACCTTTTCGATACATGAGCTACATACTGCTCTTGATCAGGCTCATGATACTGCTTCAGGGGCTGATAACATACATTATCAACTCCTGAAGCACTTACCTGAATCATGTTTAGAGACGCTCTTACACATTTTTGAGGACATTTGGACATCTGGAAATTTTCCTTCGTCGTGGCGGGATGCTATTATTGTTCCCATCCAATTATAGACCAATTTAACTAACGAGCTGCGTTTGCAAGACCATGGAACGCATGATAAATAATCGACTTGTTTGGTACCTGGAAACCAATAACTTAATAACAGATATACAATGTGGTTTCCGCAAAAAACAGAAGTACTATCGATCATTTAGTGCGTTTAGAATCTTTTGTTAAGAAGGCCGTAATTAATAAACAAACAAAAAAGCATACGACACGACATGGAAACATGGGATTTTAAAAGATTTACATGACTTTGGATTGCCTCAATTTATATCCAACTTTTTAAATGACAGGCAATTTCAAGTCCGAGTGGGTTCAACACTGTCTGACCATTACAATCAGGATCAGGGTGTCCCGCAAGGCAGTATTTTGTCTGTCACATTGTTTAGTATCAAGATAAACAGTTTATCAAAGGTTTTAGACGATTCAATTGATGGATCACTTTTTGTGGATGATTTTAATATTTCTTGTCGTTGTAAAAATATGCATACTATTGAACGGCAATTGCAGTTGTGTTTAAATAAAATAAATAAATGGTGTCTTGAAAACGGCTTTAAATTTTCCACGTCCAAAACTAATTGTCTACACTTTTGTAGAACATATAAGCCGCATAAAGATCCAGAACTATCTTTAAATGGTACTCCCATCAAAGTTGTTAAGGAGGCCAAATTCTTGGGTCTAATTTTCGACTCCCATTTAACTCATTAAATCACTTAAAGCCAAATGCCTGAAGGCACTCGACTTGTTGAAAGTTGTTTCCAACTCAAAGTGGGGAGGGGATCAAGCTACCCTCCTCCACCTATATCGATCATTGGTCCGCTCGAAACTTGATTATGGCTCCATTGTATATGGTGGAGCCTGTAAAAGCAACCTAAAACTACTTGATTCTGTCCACCACCAAGGCCTAAGACTTTGTCTTGGCTCCTTTAGAACCTCTCCTATTGATAGTCTATATGTTGAAGCAGATGAGCCTTCTCTTCCACAACGTCGTATAAAATTATCATACAATACATTACTAAACTATATTCTAGCGAGTCTAACCCTGCATTTAACTGTGTTTTCAATCCCCTCTATGAGGATTTATACAACAAAAAACCTTCTCTTGTTCCGCCTCTTGGGCACAGAATTAAGCCCTTCATTTCTGCTGCCGGCATTGAGCTGGAAAATATAGCTCCTTCCCGTCTTCTTTCTTCTCCTCCTTGGCAGTTGGTTAGGCCCCAAGTTGACCTAACTTTGACCACATTTAAAAAATCAGAAATTGATGAATTACAGTATAAACAAGAATTTAGTCAGTTAAGAAATAAATATACTACATATAAATCCTTATTTACAGATGGATCCAAGGATGGTGGCGCTGTAGCTTGTGCCACTGTCATTGGGTCCAGAACAATATAATCTCGATTGCCTGATAACAGCTCTATTTTCACGGCGGAAGCTAACGCCATATTAACAGCTTTAAAATACATTTACTCACACCGTAAATATAAACAATATATAATCTTTTCTGACTCTCTTTCTTGCCTTCAGGCGATTAGAAATCCTTCGTGCAAACATCCACTTTTATTAGAAATTCTTGCATTGTACAATGAACTTGCTACTGGCCAATGCGACATCGTCTTTCGTTGGTTACGCAGCCACGTTGGCATTTCTGGGAACACACTGGCTGATATTGCTGCTAAGGCAGCACTCAACAAATCTGTGACCCCACTTCTTATCCCATACTCTGATTATAAAGCCAGCATTAGAACATACATCCGCGATCTAATGCAGAAGAAGTGGGACACCCAAGTAGGTATTAATAAATTACATGCAATAAAACCCTACATTGGTTACACCTTCTTGGGTTGTCAGTCCAGATTTGAAGAGGTCATTATGTGGCGATGTCGCATTGGCCATACCAGATATACCAATGAATATTTGCTTAAAGGCGAAGATCCTCCGTTTTGCATCCCTTGTGATGAAAAAATCACAGTCAAGCATGTCTCGCTTGACTGCATCGAATATTCCATCACAAAGTAAACACTATGAAGGATCTTTTTAATAATGTTAGTTCTCATTTAATTATTGCATTTTTAAAAGAATTAGATTTGTTAAGTGATTTGTAAATAGATAAATATTTTATTATTGGTAATTTAAATTAGTAACTCAGATTGTTAGCGGCTGTACCCTCAAAGGGGGTTGAAGTAGCGTAAAATTATTGTCCTCTTGAGGGGGTACGTAAGTCCCAAAACTTTCAAAGTAAAGTATAAATTATCACATTTTAAACGTAGTACATGTATTTTTGTTATTTTAACTGTTGGCTAAATTTTCCTATACTCGCCAGCGTTTGAAGGGATGGTGTAAATCCAGCTAGGATCCATGCAGGTAGCAAAAGTAATGTAAGTCCCCATGGCTCCTAGTATGGTGATCTACCTTCAGTTGGTGGCGATCTATAGCCCATTTTTATATTGTGTTGTCCCCTATAGTTAAAATGTTTTAGATTCAATTACTAGTTTTTCATATATATCTGTGATACTCTAGTTGCTTTACTGTCCTTTGTCGGCAGGTTTTATGATCTTTATATATATATTATTTCAATGTCAAGTGTTCTCGTCATGATATGGCTGAAATATTGCCAATGTGACGTTAAATAATACCTTACTCACTCACTCACTTATGCAGAGAAAACATTAAACTGATCGCATTAACTTTGGTTACATGTGTACTATTTTCAGCAACGAAAGTGGGCTAAGACAACACAATAGAACATACATCACATAGTACCTAAAACGAAAATCTTAAATTCGTGCTCAAATTACATGTATTAATTTATCTAAGTAGTTAGCAATGTGTTAGGAGGATGGAAGGTAGTAGTACAAATAACACTAATACCTAAGCTCACAATTGAGCATGATATGTTCATTAGCACAGCTATAATATCTCGCGTTGAATCTGCCCACATGATACAACTGGGTGGGAGGGCGTTGATATAATGGAGCATGGCAAAAGGCTATCACGTTGTTGTAAAGCTGCCATGCACTCTATGTAGAAAGGAACGTTACTCCCACAACTGTTTTACAAGTACTAAAACTCTAGCATGACATAATGGAAAGAAACGTCAATTTAAATAATTATCATGAATACTTCACTTTAACACTTGATTGCTTTATATCGTGCTTCTGATCCACAGGTTTAGTCAAATATGAAAATAGCAAAATCCATCGTTTTGTGCTGTCCTTGTTCTCAGCGGTATTCCCAAGCACTATCCGTAGGAGTTATCTCCCCTGACGTAAGTGTTTCCTGTGGCAGACATGAAGGCATTGTGTTTCCTTGTTCTCTGATCAAATTTGTAAAGTTTCCTGTTTTGGCTTGTCCTATATGACATTAATAGGGGTAAGTCAAAGGGCATGAGCTATATCTCGACCTTCCCTTCAGGTTTTGAATAATATTCAAAATATATGTGTCCACAAGATAGCTATGGCGATTGCTTGGAATGTGTTGTTACGCCATGTTCCCTGGGATCTCGATGTGACCTCTGCCAACATCTTTTGTGGACAGCTTTTGAGACGTATGCGCTGGTAATGAAAAAAGGCCACGCGAAGAAATTAGAAGACAAGGCGATTCCATGATCACAACAGAGCTGTGTATCTACACATGATGATTCATCCATACTCCAGACCGTTCAGGATATCAGGGGTTGTGTGGCTATCCACAATTATAATAGCTCCGGTACTGGCGTATCTTCATCTACAACGCTTGAGAATTCATGGTTATCTGGACTATTTCCTGTCTCGAAATACCAACGTACACAGCTCTTTAGACGACTCACTGTGTCTGCCTTCAGAACATCCTCGGTGGCCTACGCTTCTCAGACAACTGCGTCATACACTCAAATCATGATGCCGTTGCCAGTTGTCATCTCCTGTAGCATTACGAATTTCACGACTGCATGCCTTGGATATACAACCGGTTGTATATTTGAAAGATCTATCCAGAGTTACAGTAAGAACGTTATCTTTGACTCGAATCAAAAGTCACACACTCAGATTTGTAGAGGACATGGTGTATCGAACAGATCATGTCAACTTGCGAGTCGGCATCATCAAAAACACACACGCCTTTAAACTGAGGGATAAGACCCAATAATCATTATCATTATTGGTAATATTTCAATATTATGTTCTCGTATTATACTTGCACCAGATGTCAAGAGCATTTGGAGCAAGACAGTGTTTATACTTTGTTTTGCTCTAATCAGAAAGCAAAGCTGTTTGGATTGCTTAAATCAAGTATGAGCTTTATTATCCCCAAACCATTCCTGGTTCTCTGTTTTACTATTGTCTATTCTACTGCAGTTGTAAATGAACCTATCAAGGGATCCTGTGTGGAGACTGCCCCTGATAGCTACACTGTGACCTGCTCAGGAGATGTGTCACCGCCTGTCACACTGCAGTTAAAGGCAAGCTTAACGACCAAAATAATCAACTTGACCATTATTATATGTTCCATATTTAATGATTATTTTCACAACAGGCATCATAAATGCGATCTAAGGTCATTATTGCTCCCTTAGTTTTCTCAAAATGTAATGATTCAGGCATGTGTTTTTCAGTTATCAGTTTTACGTCCACTGCTTGTCTTGTAAACGGACTTATGTTTTCTTGTCTCTTCTCATTCATCTCCGATATTATCTCTTTCTTCTGATGCAGAAGTGAGATGGTCTTGTTTGTTATAAAATGCTTCTACTGTGTTTGGTATAGAATGGTCTGCTGAAGTTCCAGGACACAAAACATATCCACATTACAGTGTTTGGTACTCGCACATCTTTCTCTCTTTCAGTGACTCCATCAGATAATGGGAACAAAATTCGTCTATGCAAATTTTGATGCCGAACATAAAGACCGTTCAATATTTATTCACCAAACGAGGCACCCGTATATGTCTGGTGATGAACTGGTGCCTTTTGGTACTTTTAGATTTGTGAATAAATTATTCCTTGCGTTTCCATGGCAACAAGTTTGACTTCCACTGAAATTGTTGTTGGTGCTCTCTTCCGGTACATAACTTTAAAACCGTTCAATGTTTGTTATTTCAACAAATTTGATAGTTTTGGATTTCTGAACAAAATATTTTTTTTGCGCATTTCCATGGAAACAATATACTTTTACGTTGACTGAAATTGGTGGCAGTCCTCCATTCCGTAGCAGAACTTAAAAAGCTTTCAGTACTCTCCTATCACTTTGTAGGTAATCATGGATCATGAAACATTATGTAGTGAGTGAGTTAATATTTAACGTCACATCGGCAATATATCAGCCATATCGTGAGAAACATTATGTTAATGATGAACGTTGTCAATAGTAAAACCTAGTCCAGAAAAGAAAAGTACCCTAATCTGATAATCCAATATAGGTATTAAAAGTGCAGATATATTGAAGTCACAAAAGTGGAGTATATTTAGGAAATGCATCATACTATTCCTCTTGCATCTATCAACTAAGCTTCTGATGTACCTGGCAGCACTGTCATTAATACATATTCTTACATTACGCTTGCATGTCCTATTTTACAGAAGGGAAGTGATTTCGTTGACTCAGCTTCTTCCGATAGTGAGTTGAGCCAGACAGTGAGCAGTGCTGGCACCTACCAGTGTTCTGTGACTGGACAGGGATCAGAGTGTGTGACACCAAACTCCGAGGAAGTAATCTGTACCTCTGGTAAGATGTTGTTGTGTATGTCTCATCCTACAAATTTGAGATTACCTATGTTCTACAGGTTTTAGCAAATCTACTAGCTGACAGTATTCTCAAAGTCTTCTCACAACTGAATAAATGATTTGGATGGGGAGGGTCGTGTGTGTAGGTGGGGTTGATCATTTCCACTAGGGTAATATGTTCATAGCAATGAAATATTCTTTTGTTTTGTTTTTATTCAATTTCAAAAGTAATAAACATATAATCTCATTAAGAAAGTACAGTATTTGTGTACCGAGTCACTGTGACAGATAGTAAAGGTTTACAAGTAACTGCTCAAGTTACCATAAACGTTTTGAGTTGAACCTGGTAGTAAATTACAGCTGATCAGGAAAAAGGAACATAAGTGTTGCTGACCACGGCATTATCGTTAGAATGTTTGATATGACTGACTGACTGACTGACTGTGTTTAGTTTTACGCCGCTTTTAGCAATATTCCAGCAATATCACGGCGGGGGACACCAGAAATGGGCTTCACACATGTGCCCACGTGGGGCACCCCTGCACCATCAGTAAACTCCCTCCAAACATTCTGTTGCAGCGCCAACCACGAGGATGACCTCAACTCTCTGAACCGACTGAAGACTGACTGAGTTTAGTTTTACGCCGCTTTTAGCAATATTCCAGCAATATCACGGCGGGGGACACCAGAAATGGGCTTAACACATTGTGCCCATGTGGGGCTCGAGTGTCGAGCTTGTCATCTGATACACCGGAGACATATTTCTGACAGGAGCTTATCATCTGACACACCGGAGACATATTTCTGACAGGAGCTCATCATCTCATACACCGGAGACATATTTCTGACAGGAGCTTATCAGCTGATACACCGGAGAGATATTTCCGACAGGCGCTTATCATCTGATACACCGGAAAAATATTTCTGAGAAAAGCTTATCATTTGACACGCCAGAATGCTTGCATTATAGATTAAAGTAATATTGCTTTACGCCTCATCAGCAATGTTCCAGCTGTTTGCCAAGTGAGCCTGTTACTAATTTCAACGTGTGCACATAATATAAACACCCATAAAAGTATGATACCCAAGACCATATACATATCAGTAATGCAGCACATTCAAGTTAAAAAGCTGATTATTTTGGTTAAAATCTGTATCATAGATTTGATCATAAAAATCAAGTTCATTAAAAACCTGCGAATCCTATGACTAAGCACTTGAGTAAAACATTGCTTTACATTACTTAAGCAGTTTTTCAGCCAAACTGTGACGTAGTAATCTACATTTATACGATAACTTGTTATCAAAGGACATAAACTACCAACATATGACAGATTGGTTCAAAACTAGTCACAGAACTATTTAACTATTCCGCAAAATTGCGATAAAATGATAGGGATGTAGATTGCCAGAAACAGATAGCCTCTCCATTCCAGGGAACGTGGGGTCTACGGTAGCCATATTTCCTTCATTGGTTCTCCAGCTGAATTTGTCTTCGTAGAATGTCTTTGTCGTATCAATGCAGTAACAACAATTATGTCAATGAATGTCCTGTGGCATGATGTTGGGATATATATTTGCCTCATATGAATGGCTTGCACTTAGTATAAGGTGTTTTGGTGTGTGCTACTATTTGTTCAGGAGCGGTTATTGCTGTTGTATCATCTGTATTGCTTATCTTTATGCCAACATCGCTTGGAAGACAATACGGATGATATCATCCTTTTGATACTTTCGTCCCTTCTTTAGAGCCATAAGTATGCATTAACATGGACAAGTATTAGCAACACCCGGTATTTTCACTGTATCAAACCCATGAAGATCCGAGTTATAATTGGTCTTCAGCAACCCATCCCAGTCGTAAAAGGCGACTAACGGGATTGGGTGGTCAGGTTAGCTGACTTTGTTGACACATGTCATCGTATCCCAATAGATGAATGCTCATGTTTTTGATCACTGGATTGTCTGGTCTACACATTAAACAGCAAACCATCCAGACAAATTATTTGATCAATATTTCGCTATTAACCATGGCAACGGAACTTATCCATGACTTTAGCTTGTAGATAAATAAAAACTCCAAGGATAATTAACTGTTGCAGTGCTGGTTTTAACCCTTCCAAATGCTTTAAGACCTTCTTCCTCACTGTATCAGACGTTGCATTTGACGATGAGGTATTGCGGTCCATTCTTCAAGGGGCCTTGTTCCAATACATCAAGATTTTATACTGGATGTTCGCTCTGGCGTATTTTAGGATGTCAGTTTTGTACTCTTGTCCATTCAGATTGTGTCTAATCGTCTTAAGGTTTACAGTCACGTGAGAAGCACCCCCGCACCATCAGTAAACTCCCTCCAAACATTCTGTTGCAGCGCGACACACGAGGCCGACCTTCCCCCCATCGTCTTCTGACGATTAGTCTGAATGCCCTTGAAAGCTGATCAATCCAATTCTGAAACGTAGCAAGCTGCTGACCTGTTGCAGGTGGTTTATATTACGAGCCAGGGCCCCTATCGAAAGGATCCTAGCGCTAGGATATCCTAACTTTTATCCTAGAGTCTGGGATAGGTGTCCTACCTTATTCTCTAAACGTATCCTAGCGCTAGGATATCCTGACTTAGGACAAATACTAGGATAGGGTCTGACTTGTCCTAAATAAATCCTAGACGAAAACAATATGGCGTCGTACTTGTTTGTTCATGCAATGTTTGGGGGAAAGAATGACTGTAAGAAGAATGCCGAAAGGATATATCGTAACCGGACTGCGCCCCTCGATTTATTCGACGATGCGGAGTTGGGTAATCGATACCGCCTGTCAAGGCGAGCGATTCAAGAGGTGATAGAGCTGTGTCGACCCGAGCTAGAGAGAGCCACACAGCATTCAAGAGCCCTAAACCCCGATCTTCAAGTACTAATAACCCTTAGATACCTGGGGAAGGGTGGTTTCCAGTCGGAATTGGTTGATTTGCACGGGGTTTCACACCCTACTGTCTCCCGTGCAATTGGTACCACTGTAGACATCTTGTCTAGGAAACTAGACCGTATACGTTTTCCTAAAGATGCAACCTCACAGCGGGAAGTCAAATAGGTGTTTCACGCACTTTCTGGCTTTCCCAATGTGCTTGGCTGCATCGACGGTACTCTAATTGCAATCGTCCGTCCACAAGCATGCGAGGAGGCAGCGTATGTTTGCCGGAAGGGATTTCACGCTGTAAACATCCAAGCCATATGCGACGGAGATCTAAGGTCAGTATGAAAGCACTCATAACTTTCTAAATCATACCTGCATACGTAAAACTGGATGGATACAACTCTACTGTACAATATTTACAGAGAACACAGTAATATTTTGATGCAAGCCAAATGCGGAAGTGATTACTTCACAATCTATAACCTTGACATTGAGTGATTAATTTGAATATCTATTTTTAGAATTTAAAGCCTGAGAGGCCCGTTTGAGGTGTCGCAGTTATTTTATTCTAATGAAAACGTCTAAAAAAATTAAAACTGGAATTGTACACTGTAATGTCATTGACCGAGTGCAAAGGATGTAAATGACATGTTCATGCATTATTGTTAACATAAAGAAATTAGTACACAATTAGAGATAGAGGTGTACTATTCCTTACATGTATGGATTATAAATTATATATTGGAAAGGAAATTTAAACTATGATACATATTGCATATACCCTGGAAATATATATTTTTAGCATTAGCATCACATAAATTGTTTTGTACTCCGGCAACACGATTTTCTCTTCTTGGTATGTTGGTAGAAATGTATGTTGTGTTATTACAGGTTCACCAATGTTGTATGCAGATGGCCAGGTGCAACACATGATAGCTACATCTTTAATAATAGTACAATTGTAAGCTACCTTTAAGAGTCTGGAGGTAGAAATGGATGGTTGCTTGGAGATTCAGGGTAAATTTGATTATCATTTTGTAATAAAATAGCTTAAAATGAGTGAAGTTTCATAAATAAAATATATGTACTTGATTATTCCATTTACTAAGAGTAAGAATACATCCAGTTTGAATTTGTGTTGTATTTACTAACATTGTCTTCATATTTCTCTTATAAATCATTTGCGTGTATATCTACAAAATCCTTCAGACATGCCTGCAGACCATAGATGGTCACCCCCCTGAGCAACCCCCAGACACAGGGAGAGGAGAGATTTAACCGAGCGCTCTGTAAAAAAAGGAACACAGTGGAAAGAGCTTTTGGCCTAATGAAGTCTCGGTTTCGGTTAGTTCGATTATCATAATGAAATTAATATTTCAGAATAAGCAAAATAAATAATTAAAAATATATAATCTCAAGGTGTTAAACACAAAAATTAAAAGTTCATTTATATCAAAACTGAAGGCATGAATCTGTCATTTACTTACAAAGAATTAAACCATTTTGCAAAATGAAGTTTAAGATAAAGTATGAAAATATTGTAAAAATTATCCATATAGTTATTGTCTGATAGAGTAAGGAGACTATCTCTTTACAGACATAGCTCCAAAACCTATAAATGGAACTTTCAATCACTGAGGTATCGATAAATTGATATAGCTTTAACATGAATGTAGTAGGTTCTCTTTAATAATTAGATGCCTACACAAGTCAACGGGCTGCCTGCCTTTCAAACCAGACAAGTGTCATCGGCTCGTGTATGGTGTGTGCCAGCTACACAACCTGTGTATCAACCATCGCCTTCCACCCATGCCAGCCCTACCTGCAGAGGATGGCAATGACCAGCCATATGACGGTCCACTTAGAGATGGACACCAGACAAGGAAACGCTTGATAGAAAGCCCTTTCAACTAACATATATGGTAAGTTTTTACAACAGTTCATTTGTTTTCCTTGTATATGTCAGTATGAAGAGAAATAAATAACCATCTTTTCGATAAAAATATAATCTGTTAATGCATTTAACTATGGAAAATACACTAAGTACATACATCTTATGTTATGAATGTACACTGGTATTTTGATAAGGACTTGTTGTATTTGTAAATAGGAACATTGCAAAGCATCATTAAATTGGTTCATTTTTTCAAATTTCTGCGTTATCCAAAGGCACCAACTTCAACTTCATATGTACATCAAATGAATGTGTAAATTTCATAACCAATTTCATCCAAAAAAAAGTATTTCTTAAGTCAATTTAGTATCATTAAAATGTCAATATATATATATTTTTCAATCTTCTAAATAATTAATTTCAAGGATATATTTCAGAATATGATAAGAGAATTCAATGCCATAACAATTTCACCATATGAATAATCAAAATACATTTTTACCTCACATACATTGCAAGTTTGTCAATTGCCAATATCCTGAATCATTGGAGCAATGTAAACTTAAATCTAGTAATCAATCATAACATTATTCTGCAGATGAGGAAAATAGGTCTTAGGTGATAAATTTCATCAAAAGACACCACTGAACCATCTATGGAATGTTTCAGTAAAATATTCAGTAAAATAACAGTTGATGTTTGAGATATGCATGGCATAAACAATGGGACGGATTGAGTGAAAAACAATGTTAGGGACATGTATATCAACTCCTGTGCAAGTGGTGGTACGATAAATAGATTCATTTTCACAAAACCATTATATCAGCAGACACATGGAAGTTTTATTCAGTATTTTAGCCGATATGACCTATTACAGTACACTTGTAGATGTTTTACACTGTACAGTATAGTTAAAATAGAAATATACATACGTAAATGAACTTATATTTGCAAAAATAATATTAGATTGATATTTCTTGAGTTTAATCAGTTTTCCATTAGTTGATATCTTTGTACAAAGTTGTGAACATAGGGAGGTATCTGTTTAAGAAAATTAAAACTTTTACAAATGAAAAGTTCATGACACTCATCCTTGACATTGCTTTCATGACAATAATGACATAAACTGAACTATTATTGTTATCATGTACATTTCTCTTTCTAAGTTTTAAAAAAACATGAAATTTTGGTAATGATATTTGTAATGTAACATATGTTTTATTTGGGATTACTCTTTCTTAGTGTATTAATGATATTTGTAAGGCTCAGAGAGCTCCTAAAGTCCTAGCTTGCAGTTAAGGTACATACCTTTCTGTAACAACAAATGATTTCATACAAATTATTAACAACAAATGGTACTTGATAATTTAACAGGACAACTCGAACAAGCTTGAACTACTCACAACCCCAACATATGACAAAATGGATTTATTTCACTTCATTGTTAGAATGTCTTAATAGCAAAGTATTGTATATACATTCAGAATTCAAATGTGATGATGGGTGAGATGCATATGGGAGTTACAGTCTGATCTGCCTGTTTTCTCATCAACCGCAATTCATTGAGTATTGGCTCTCTGCAGGCGCTCTCTGTCGATCTGCAAGCGTTCCCGCATGATGGCCACCTTCTCCCTCTCAAGCTGGACCACTTCAGCTGCCTGGGCTGCACTGTCTTCTAAAAAACAAACGACAATCATGTCATATCCACAATAAATTTCAACAATTTCAGATACAAACATTGTTTTGTTTTTCCTTTTGTATTTTTTTTTACTATTAAGGAACTTACTTGCAATCATCATTGATTGCATTGTACCTTGTAAAGTTGAACTGGTATATCACATTGTTAATATATGAGACAATTTCATCTTTGAAAAACTTTTCATACAATCATTACGAAATATTACTCATTGACAGTACAAAGGTTAATAATTACCATGAGTATGAACTTTTGTCTTTTGTTTCTTACTCCCAGGTCTCGAAACTACAAAGAAAATTCACAATATAATTGTTTTCAAGGATATATTGCAGAATTTGAATGTAATAACATTAAATTATTTTTTTGACTGCATCATATTATAAATGCAGTACGTATACATAATTCTTCCATTACTATAAGAAAATAGTATTGAACTGGAACTTGGAAATCTGGAAGTTAAATCTTGGAATTTATTAAAATCTTAAGTATTTATAGACTAATAAACATTGTATTTGTCAAGAATGGACATATTTTCTATTTATTTTCATTTTAATATCACTGATCTCTCATTGCGTGACGTAGTAAGTGATATCACACTGAAAACACCAAATATTCTCTATATATTAGGCTGAGGTATATTGTCATACTTTGCACACCAAATCTAAACGAGATAAATCTATAATTATCATGATTTGCGATGTGATATTATTACCTATATCTGGTGACAATTGGAACGATGCTGGTGGATCATGCGGTGTTGGTGGTGCTGCTTGTCGTGGTGGAGTGCAGGGCGAAAGGAGGATAGGTGATGTCCGGGCAGAGTCCACATTCAAATTGTTGCTGCTAGTTGAAGTCGAGGGAACAGCTGCATCAAACAACACACTTCCCAATGCTGAGAAGGCTGGAAATTAATGTTTTATATGTCAGAATACCTTTGCAAGTATATTCTTTAACAAAAATGTATAAGTTTATTTGGAATATTAAAAAAGTACATGACACTTAAACAAAGAGGTAAGTTACTGGTTTGCAAATATTTTAGGGCACAACTTATCATTATGCAATTAATGCTATAGGCCCCCATACTGTCACTTATACAAAACATTAATTCCACACATTACTTGGTGATCACTTGTATATCATAAGTGTTTTATGATAACGGATGAATACCTGACAAGTCTTCACTATCCATCCCCCCTGTGCAACCATTGATTTGTGCGGATGGAATGAGGGACACCACCTGTAAAAATATAAATGAACTTTTCAGTAATTAAACAAAAGCATAAATTTGATTATACATAGACACATTGTTACAGGTGTGACAATGCAAAAATTTAACTTGAGACATGTGCAGGTATACAGTACAAAAAAGTGACTGTACCATGATACTGAAAATATCATTGATTTATACATTCTCATATCAACAACATCCAGTAATAAACAAGTTTTTAAATTCATAATTTTATAATTTCATTACTTACGTTTCTTCATACAAATATAGATTTATGCAATATACCTTATACTCAAAGTCACTCAGTGGAGATGGTGATGGCCCTCCCCGGAATATAGCCTTCTTTAGGCTAGTGGCTTTCCTCCTTGTGTCACTCCTGTTACAGATTAAGGTACATTATATCAAATTATTTCCATCTTTAAGATTATTTACATTCATATAACACTGACCTTGATAAAGTCATTTCTTTGAAGAAAATTATCAGCCTGAAATTGAATTATTGTAAAACCAAATATGTACATTTTAAATTTTAGTAGATTTTAATGTTCTCAAAAAGATGTTATTTTAATAAATACAATTATTCTTTTGGAAGTTAGTTCTTTGTTTCAGCTTGTTTGTCAAAGTTAAAGCCGCAGTATTGAAGGCATCCTTATAATATGTTAGATAGGTTTACTGTTCTTGTTTAGTACATGAATATTATATTTTATGTAGTCTAACTTTAGAGTGGTCCATTTGTTTTTTGACATCCTCTGATGAGCGGATAGAGGACCCGCAAGCACTGACTCTGAGAAAAAAATTCAATAGGATTTGTGTACTTCACTGCAGACATTCTAATCTTTTCTTAGCAGTTATGAAAACTTTAGTAGCATGTAATATACTGTTAAACAGTATAATTCATTATCAAAAGAATAGATTGAATAAAGTCACATCAGTACTCAGAGCTCATGATAAAATATCTAATGTCTTTCTGAAATTCACTCATCAAAATATTGTGATCAATAACATTAGCCATTTCTGTGGGATTGCTAAAAATATAATCAGATAAAGTTATTTTGAATTATTTTTCGAGAGGAGAAATTGCAATTAGTACTTGCCTGTGAAAACAATAATTTTGACTAAAATGACCAACAGAGCCAATGAGTCCTACTTTGACATTGCATTGTTTACATTTATGAGAGCTGATCGCATCAATAAATTGAATAATTAGATTCACCTGTTTGATATGTCCTTCCAAATCTGTTGCTTCTGCTGTTGGTAACAAGGGATGAAAAATGAGCTAAATAGAATAGACTTATGCTTCTCCACCTCATCAACTAAACAATCCATCTCGTTCCGAGTCCAGTTGACGTTTCTCGCTTTTCATGTCGCCATCTCGCTGAGCTTGACATTTTGATCACGCCTGCTCGGGGATTTCCCAAAAGCTGTGACGTCATATGGGAATCCCTTCGCTTTTCTATCTCACCGACTGAAGAGCTCGCTGTCCTAGCTAGGATCGAAACTCAAGTTAGGACAGGGATAGGATCGTTTCGAGAATGGGTCTTATCTTAAAGTTAGGATGTCCTAACTTCTGTCCTAACTAGTTAGGATCTGTCTTAGCTGGGACACTTTCGAGAATAGGGGCCTGGTACTTATTTGTAATCGCAATGTTAGCCATGCTGCAACAGATTAAATATCAGTTTAGGTTGCACGGGATTATGACGTGTGTTTTGTTGCACCATTATGGACACACCACCTTCCCAGTGTTTGATGATTAGCTATGTTAAGTATTATGTGAAAAAGAGTGAGACATCGGACAAAGGTTCTGAACGCTCATGATGTGCGATGTGAGATGGTATTCAGCAATTTATTAGCGCCAGCTATCTTGTCTTTACGGTTTTCCATAAGAAGGTCAAATCCGCCATTTTCTTTTTATGACGTTACATAGGTGTGACCTTTGTGTGACCTAATCGATTGTTGAACCCCACCCTCCTTCGAGTCCGCCAAGGTGTGTGTGTCACCTTCAGGTTCACCTTAGTGGTCCGTGTGATTATTATTCAATTATCTTATGAGTGGGTATGAGTTTGCCGACTCGAGTGTTCACACGAAACATGTGTTCCTTCTGTAACCCTAGTGACTACAGTCGTTGGGTGTAATACCATTCTTGGTTTAGACACTGTACTGTGCGGACGTATTACCACTGCTCTGGGATATCATGGATGTGTGTGACATTACCAATCGATTAAGACACTCGATTGCTGTGCAATCAGTACTGCATGGGCTTCATTCCAGAAAAGATTTGATTCGTTTTAAGGACTGGTCAGTGCAGATGAAACCGAGTCCTAGTCGCATGGCCCAGGCAGGATTTGTGTACTTAATCAGAGGGACACTTGCAAGTGTTTTCAATGTGAGCTCGTTCTCAAGAACTGGGAAGTAGATGGCGCATCCCTGGGTCGAACATGAAAAATGGTCTCCAGACTGTCCGTGATTTGGCCCTGGTGGGAGTACCTCAGAAACATATGGCCTGCTGGGGTAGTAGTCATGTGGATTTGCAACCAAGAGAGTGATGTAAAATGTGTGAATATTAGAAATAAATCAATGTTAAGAGTATATCTATGCATTGGTTGTCTATGTATAGTCTTTTGTTGATGTATAAATAGAGGTTTACTCAAATACTAATCTCATTGATATCCCAATCACGATAAGAGCTTGTTTGCAAGAAATTATTATGGCTAGTACGTGTTGAAACATTACGAATTTTTAAGGTTCATGTTAATGTTTCAAGACATTGAGGAGATTCGACAAGACATCTTAGAAATGAACAGCAAACAGATTCTTGCCGCCAATGGTATTATCAAAAGGTTATTAAAGGGAAGGTTACCAGTGACTCGATATGAAAGGCGCTGTGTCCTGTGGAAAAATGATAGAAATAACTATCTAGCTGTGTTACGAAGATTAGTTCACCCCTTGGACGACAGACAGACAGTATGTGGAAGAGTCTTTGCCAGTAACATGCCTATCGTAGCATTTGTTTTGAAACCACAGTTTGTCAATGCACTTTAGAGATGAGGCCATTCAAAATGCCTGGTTGTTTGATAGAGCATTGGCTTAGTACATCTGGTACACCTGTCTTAGGTTTGTCAATCCGAAAAGAGCATGTATGACCATCCTGGCAGCGATGTTGAAAGCTACACCAAGCCCAAGGTCAATGAAGATATCTAAATAACAGAGCCACAAGGGCTATCTAACTTCATTTAGCCGTGGACAGTGGACACGATTTTACATGCTCAGGGCTGAAGGGAAAGGAGATCCTTATCATTCTATAATGCGTTGAGGAGAAAATCTCCCATAATGTCTGTCGATCGACATTTGGAACTGTATGATCCAGAGTGGAAGAAAGATAAACCAAAAAGAAACCCTCAGTACAACCTAAGATTAATTTCTGTTACCCCTACTCAACAAGTGGTCGAACAAACCAAGGCTCTTATTCAGATGCAGAAGAAAGGGGATCTAAAGTTGGAAGTTCCTATCAGATTCCCATGAAGAAATGGAAGACTACTTTTTAGATAAAAGCAGTCAGTAGACATGGTTCCCTGCCATTTAGACTCGGACCACCATGCAGTCAACAACGTGTCCTGTGCTACCAGACTTTTTCCAGGACAGACAATATGTTGAGACATAGAAGACAGAAACATAACAACTCCCTCCTCCTCCTCCTCCTCCACAACCACATCAACAACTCTCCTCCTCCTCAACCACCATCACCACCACCACCACAAGCATCACCTCCACCTCATGGACCTCCTCTTTCATTAATGCAAACTTGGCAACATCATCATCAGCATCAGCAACTACAGCAGCAGCAACCAGTGCAACCACATTCACCAGAAAGTACTACCCAGTCATTGAAGAATCAAGGCTGCAACGTCCATTCACCATGATCGTCTCAGGGCTCCACCTCCTGTGGGAAAACCTACTTAGTGAAACAGCTTCTAGAAAGAATGAACATTAAACCTTATCCTGAACGTATTATATGGCTCTACAAACGATGGCAGCCATTATAATGCCATTCAAACCCATGTTTATCCCTATGTGAAATTTCATCAAGGCATTCCTTCTGATCTCGAAAAGGATGCATTTCTGGACCCCAGTGTTGTGAACGTGGTTATCCTCGATGACTTAATGTCTACTGCCAGCAAAGATCCACGCATTACAGATTTTTTTTACCGAAGGAAGTCATCATCGTAATCTCTCAGTGATATCCTTGAACCAGAATTTCTATTACAGTAAGGATCCCACACAACGAAGAAAAACTGTCATTATCTGCTTCTGTTCAACAACCCTATTGACCAACAACCCATCATGACTTTGGCGAGGCAAATGTTTCCAGGTAACACAGACCACTTCATGGAGCTCATTTCAAAGGGCCACCCAGAAGCCTTATGGCTACTTGTTGGTAGATCAAAAACCCCAAACACCTCCCCATTTGCGACTTTGTCCCAACGTATTTAATTTAAAAGGAGGCCTCCAAGCTAGGACAATTCAGTCCGAGTTAGACGTTCAGAGTGAGCAGATGTGTGAAGAAAACCTCCCCCAACAATGCCATCTTGTGATGACTGTGGACTCGTGTTTCAAGACGTGCAGTATGATTTGCAAAAACACAGAAGAAACTGGTGTCCTGAAAAGTCTTCAGTGGGTCCACCTGGAATACCCTAAGTGAAAAGGAAGTGGGAGGAAGACGACAACTTCTCTGTGAAGAGACCATGTCCTCTGTCAGATTGACTATTGTGGTCACTTGTTTAGCAATAACCACAACTATACAAAGACATTTACACGATAAACAATGTCCTGAAATGGAAACTGATGAGGATGATGAATCGTTAAAAGATGTCACACATGGCAACAGGAAAAATAACATAGTTGATCTCGAGGAGCAAGGTATAAAACGAATGTATTCACGGACGTGTGAGGTAAATAAAGACTTTTCGGATGAGAAACGACAGCTGTACATGAAAAGAAGTATAAACAAAGACATGATTCAAGCCAAACTGAAGAAATTCATCTGGAGCACGTTTAAAGAGACGTATGCCCGATTTATTACTTATCTGTACCATATGTAGTATGGACCAAAGACACAAGGAATACTGAAACGAGTAAAAAAGATACAAATGATATGTATCATGACGGTTTTCCAAACTGTACCAATATAAATCTTGGGTAGAAGACTTAATTGATGATGATTATGAAGACATGACATCTGATGTAGAGAGTGAAGGGCCGGACGTTGAGGAAGGGCAATAATACAATTAGCACAACAGGTAAAGTAGACATTTGGGTGAGCTCCTATCCTAAAGCCTACTCATTTGAAACTGAGCTAATAAACAATGAAATCTGTATATCTTTCTTGTTTTTAAATGTATTGTACCCATGAAGGTCTAGGGCTACTCTTCAGTAACCCATGCTTGTCGTAAAAGGCGACTAACGGCATGTGAGTAACCTATGTCACATGATGTCAAATAAGTGTCATAAACATGGACATAAGATGGGTGTTTTTCATGTTTGCAATTTGAGAGTAAAAGTTTTAAAATGTTGAGTAAAAGTGAAAGTTTTACAGGAGAACACATATTTCTTTATTCAGTATTATATATGACAAATGCTAAATCATTTCATCGCTGTACAACCAAACTACTTGAGATATTCAGTGACCATTCTGTCCTGAACTGCTTACTGATTACTGCTCAATAATTCCGGTCAGACACTTGTCTCCTTACATAATGGAAGCGACCACTTGTCAGCATACATTCAACATCACATTGAAAATTATCCATGCCATGTACTCCATGATTACAGTCTGACCTTTAAACAGCTGAAGCTGACCGTTTGTGACCACGCTGAAAATAATCAACAACCATGCACACATGATTACAGTCTGACCTTTTAACTTACAATAAAACAATTTCTGGTCAACTTGAACCGGATAACTTTGCGAGCACAGGAAGCTAACACATCAACCCTCCCAGGTCCGCACCAACTGTCACCTACTTGAACATAATTTGTACACATAATTGATACAAATGACAGCATTAAATACTTAAAATGGTGGTCAGTTTTAATGACTGGATGCTGGAAAGCTTTTAACAAACATAACACCTTACACTTTTTTTTCATCCAATCACAGCTGTCACATGTCTCTTCAGAGACGGCTCAGTGAGTAAGCGATTCTGCTATGCAAAATAGCATAGTGTTATGTATTAATGCCTATAGACAGGGC